AACTAGGTGGTAGTGTAGGCAAGTGGGCTGTGGCTGGAGAAGGCGGGTCACTGAGGGTGTGTCTTTGGTACTCCTATTTTGTCCCTGGAGAGCAGAGATGCCTCTACTTCCTGGCTTGTGATGTCCTAAGCAGCTTTCCTTTGCCATGCTCTTCCACCATGAAGCCTCACCTCAGGCCCAGAGCTATGGAGTCAGCTGGCCAAGGACTGAACCTCTGAAACTTTGAGCCAAAATAACGTTTTTCTCCTTTATGTTTTTCTTGCCAGGTCTTTTGGTCACAACAACCAAAAAGCTGACCTCAGACCTGAACTGCCAACTACAGTCAGAGATGCTCTCAACAGAGGTGAGTGAATTTTGCCATTGTAAATAAACATGGACATCTGCACACTATACCTGCCTTCTAAGGGCTCTGAGAAGTCCCTCACCAAAAAAAAAAAAAAAAAACTGCTCGGTTCTCCTTGTAGTAGCATTTAGTTGCACACACCTGATATCCAACAGTTTGGGAAACATGACTCAAATTTATAAGGATGACAACAAAACCACTCACCATCATTCAACACCCTATGAGCCATCCCCCGTCACCTTGTCCAAGCCTAACAGAAGCCTAAGAAAAGAACAGTCATTCATGGCTCCTTTTCTTCCTTCTCTCTTTCATTCTTTTTCTTTCTTTTGTAAAAGACAAGGAAACTGGAGTTTGGAGAATTCAAAGGACCCACTTGCACTCCACAACTAGCACCAGGAAATCCCATTCTTTACAGGATGATAAGGGTGAGTAGGTGCTGTGGGGAAGGATCTGAACTGACTCCTCCTTTCTGGTGTTTTCTGCAGGTAAGAAGGACTCTGGCTGCAGGTGGCCTTTTGGAGAGGGACCAGCGTCTGGGAGGAAGGGTCCCTGGCCATGATACCATCGGTTATTGGTGAGGAGTTCTGCTTCCTCACAAGTTGAAGTTTGAACATTAGAGAAGCATACAGGGGCAAGTGTATAAAGCAGGGTTTACTTATTTTTAAAAAAATATTTATTTTTTAGTTGTAGTTGGACACAATACCTTTATTTATTTTTATGTGGTGCTGAGGATTGAACTCAGGGTCTTGCATGTGCTAGGCAAGAACTCTACTGCTGAGCCACAACCCCAGCCCAAGCAGGGTTTATTTTTAAAAGGGATAAAATTGTGCTGTGAATAGATAATTATGAATGTAATGCATTCCCCTATTGTCATGTATGAAATAAATAAATAAATAAATAATTTTTAAAAAGAGGTAACATAGACTTCTCCCAGGAGGGAGAAGGGGGCCACAGCTGGTATCCTGGTATCCCAAGAAGCAGGGTGTTCTGCCCTTTTTATGTGTCCTAGGCTTCCTTTGTTCTCCTGCCCTCTTCCCCTTATCTTTCTCCCTCCTGACTAGAGGCAAGAATGCTGGGTGGGATGGCCAAAAGGTGTGAAAAACAGGTGGGCTGAAGAGGGAAGGGCAGGATAGTATAGCCCAGGACACATTAATTAACAACTTTATAACTTCCTGTAGGGAGGGGCAACTCCTGGGACAGGTTACCTTAGCCACAGGTTGGAGCAGGGAGAGGTTCTTGATAAGGGTGGAGGAAGGGCTCAGAAGGAATTAACATTTCAATCCCTCAGGGGAAAGTCTCCAACTTGGCAGACTCACTCAAAATTGGCCTCCTTGATGGAATCTGACTCCGTTTACCTATCTATACTGACTTCCTGTCTAATTCTGGTTTCAGCCATAGCCCCCAAAAGATGCAAGAATTCATAATGATTATCATTACAATCATTATTACTAGTATTTATAAACTCAGTGATGTTTTTATTTTCACCGATGCTAAATTATCCTCTCAAGCAGTGGGAGCTTCTTCTGCTTGGCCCTCAAACTTGTCTACCAGAACCCAGTGGCCTGATGTTTTTGCCCTGCTCTCAGGGAATAGGAGAGATCCCTAGCTGATCTTGTACATCTCCTGTCCTGGTCTGGAATCAGCCACGTCTCTTGAGTAGCCTCATCTTCTTAATGAGAAATTGCATTTAGTGGTGCTTGTTGCCACCCAATTGGCCATTTTGTATGGCCTCTTCAGTGGGGTTAATCAGTGTTTGTACTGAACTTTAGGAAGGTTGACAACAGGTTCTCCCAGGCTTCTACTACCCTGCCCCAAGCCACTCCCTTCCCTAGAGCAGGGGCAGGACCTGTGGTTTGCCTCTAAACTACAGAATATAATGCAGACAATGGGAGGTCAATTCTGCAATAATAATCCAAAAGACGTAGCCCAGTTCTCTAGAACTCTCTCATGCTGGGTTTAAGGAAGCAAGTGTGTACATTGGAAAGTCCCACAAGGCTAGGATATGAAGTGGCCTACATCCAGCAGCCAGAAAGGAACTGAGACCCTCGGTTCCTTTATCTTTTTTTTAATATTTATTTTTTAGTTGTAGTTGGACAAAATACCTTTATTTTATTTATTTATTTATTTTTACGTGGTGCTGAGGATTGAACCCAGGGCCTCGCATGTGTTAGGCCAGCGCTCTACTGCTGAGCTACAACCCCTCCCAGTTCCTTAACTTCAAGGAACTGACAGCCAATTGGCACATAAGCTTGGAAATAAGTCCTTCCTCCTATTATCCTCTGGGCCTGCAGTCTGGGCTAGGACCAGCATTGCAACCTGGTGAGCCCTGAGCAGAGAACTCAGCTGAGTCAGGCCCAGACATCTGGCCCATAAACTAGGAAATGAAGATGTGCATTGCCTAACTTCATATGTGGTTCTTTGTTACACAGCCACAGATAACAATATAATAACTGGGCACACTTCATTGAAATTTCTTTACAGCCCTCTCCTAATATATGAGAGAGAGTTCTAAAACTCGCCCTCCACACCCAGTGGATGCCTGACAGAGGATAGTTCTGAACCCAATATATACTGTTTTTCCTATGCATTCATAATTCTGATGAAATTTAATTTATAATTCATGAATAATAAGAGATTAACAGCAATGACTAATAATAAAATAACAATTATAACAATATACTATAATAAAAGTTATATGAATGTGTCCTAATTCTTTCCCCACTTCCCCCCAAATTTTATTGAATCATACTCCCCCACCCCTCTGTTTGATGATCTGAGCTGTTACAAAGCCTACCTGATGAGATGAAGTAAGGTGGATGACTAGGCACTTATCACACTTGTGACCATAATTTTTGCAGTTTGAGGTGCAACATCAAAACTAGCACAAATTTCTTTTTCCATCTTCACAGTTTAACAGAAGATTCATTCATCCCATAGATCTTAGCAACCTCAACATACAATTTTTTTTCTTTCCTTACTAAGTCAAGAACTCTCACTTTTTAACTCAAAGGAAGCACTTTATGGCTTCTCTTTGGAATATTCAAATTAGCACCTGAGTAAAATAATTGTTACTTGAAAACAAGCACTGTGCTATTGTGATAGTCAATCTGATAACTGAGACAGCTACTAAGTAACAAACAGGTGAATAGCATATATAGCCTGGATACAATAGACCAAGGCATAATATATTAATATATGTCCCAGGCAGGGACAGTATGAGATTTCATCCAGAAACACCCTCACAGACACACCCAAAAATAATGTTTAACCAAATAAGTGGGTACACTGTGGCAAAGTCAAGTTGACACATAAAATTAACCATCACAACATACACACACAGATTTAGACACATACACATATAAATTCATATCCATTCAGAAAACATACACATTCACCCTCAAAGACAAACTCTTGGACATACATACATGCATATACAAAGAGAGACGGATATATTTACATTTACACACATAACAGCTTATACACATACTGCTCCCTAGACTCTGCCACAACCCTGTAACAGCACTGTAGCAACAGTACCTTCCTGCTATGGCACTTTGTGACTTAATGTGAGTCTCCCTGTGCCTTTGCTCATCCAGCAGGCCTGAGAATGGTGAGGCCACAGGATGTGACAGTTCCTCCATTCGCACTCCAGGCATGGTGCTAAATGCATTTTTCGAGTAATAGTCCTCACAACAAATATCAGAGCAACCAGGAACCTGAGAGGACATGAGAGATTACATGTTTTGTCCAGGTCCCACAAAACCAGATCTCCCTGCCTGAAATCCAGTGTAACTCGGCAAACTCTGTAACCCTGGGACAGAGTTTCCCATGGGATCATGTAAAGTGAAGGCTCTGATTCAGAGTCTGCATGTCCCACCAGCCTAGGTGACAATGCCGGAACACCTCTCACAATAAGTTCAAGATCCAGACATTTCATCCCTACCTGCACATCCTATTTCTGAGGGCACAGGGATCTCCCTGAACCTAAGGCCATAAGAGTCTGTACTACAGTACAAGCACCATTTACATACAGAATGTAATGTACCCATTTAACCTCCATCTAGTGGAGAAAGTCCATTTACGTGGTGAAAACTCCTAAATCCTCACCATAACCTGGGGGAGGAGGGACACTGAGGCAGGCAGCCTCTAAGGTCTAGGGCTACTAAGAAGCAGAACCAATTCAAACTCATAATCAGAGTTTATAATCTCTGGGCTGGCAGGTAAATGAGAGGCCAGAATCACTGGGACACATACTGTTCTTTTCCCTCCTTTGCTGGCTTTGAGCCCAAGAGGTTAAGTGATTAAACAGTTAGTCACCAAACCCTGCTCAACTCCTGGTTTCCTGATGCAGAAATCTTTCAGAGGGCACTTGTTTGAGGATGTTCATCCGCTAAAGCTGTATGTAGTCTGACCCTGTTTTCCTACTCAAGTTCCTAGGGGTAGATGTCACTCACACCTAGGGCCGCTCAGAACGTGGTTCCTTTGAGAGAAGAAAGTCAAGTGATTCTGCTTCTGAAAATCCCCTCTTTTTTTTTTAAGCGCTGCCTCCCGCCCATAAGTATTTCTGGGGTAGAAAAATGCACACGCTTTGTTCGCAGGTCTCATTTCTCTTCCTCCTCCCCCAGTAAATGATCGCAGCTTGGAAACTTATAAAGGAAGCGGTTGCCTTTGTGGCGGATAGATTTGGAGATGAGCTTCTGGTAAAAATGATTCAGCAAGAAACCACCCCCTACCCAGCCCCCAAACTGGCAGCCCACACCCCTCCCCAGCCCAGGGGGCGGTGTGCAGGACCGGCTCCACCCTAGGCGGGCAACCCACCACCGACCCGGGAGCTCAGCCCACTGCTCCGCACTGCTCACAGCCCGACAGTCATGCGGGCGGCCGGGGCGCTGCTCGCCTTCTGCTGCCTGGTCTCCAGCACTAGCAGCGGCCCTTCCCCAGGTAAGAGGAGGGTCTCCTGGTCGCTCCCCACGGTGGGCCCGCCCTGAGATTGCTCCAGGCGTCCCTGCGTTTTCTCCCGCCTCGGATCTTCCCCGATACTGTCTTGGTTTGGAGCCAACAGAGAACCGCACAGCAGCGAGGGGCGCAGGGCTCCGGGTCCTGGCAGCAGCTGCCTCGCGGGGAGCCAGGCTTCAGGGATGGAGGATATGGGGACTGTCTCTGCTGGGAACAGTGGAAACGTCTTCGGGTCCTTGATGCTAACCGATCCTGAGTCCGGTCACGTAGAGTACAGGGACCCAGAGGAAGGCTGAGTGGCGGTTAGGCGACTTTTATCTGGCTGTTCGTCCTTCCTGCCTGCCTGCGGACTACTTTCCTGTGACTTGGCCTCAGGGACCCTAAGGATCAGACACTTGTCCTTCCTGCAGTCTGCTCCCTTATTGTCCACGCAGGGGGAGGCCGGGGAGGAGGAAGAGAAGGACACTCCCTGTGCGCTGGGAAACTGAGGCAGAGCCAGGTTAGGTAACTTGCCCAAGTCACACAGGCTTGAGCGCCTGCTCCCCAGGAGTGAGCTGGGCGATGCTCTCCCAGCATGCAGAATCAAACCCCAGAGGAAGAGTGAGAGGGCCCCTTCCTTGTTTAACCAAGGAACCCTGTCACTAAGCCCCCCTCTCTGCTGGCAGGGACAGCACTCAAACTGCATCTGGTTTCTGCCCTTCTCCCTCGCTCGGGTTTGGCCAAAGGTAACCAGATAGAGGGTGTTCAGGGAGGACCAATGACAAGGGGATGGTACCCAGAGTCCAAGGTCCATAGAAGGTGCACACCCCTTCATGGTGAATCAAGATACCAAGGAATCAGGGACACTAGGGGACACAGCTTCAGGCTCCTAAACCTACAGGTCAATGTTATAACTTGGGGGCCACAGGTTCAGGGCAGGAGTGGGAGAGTGGGCAATCTTCCGCTGTCAGAGAAGGAGACAAGCCACAGCAGCCTCAGGGTGGGTGCTCAGCAATGGGGTGGTTAACACATTGCTAAACTAACAATGAGCTGCCTGCTCCCTGCCTTCTTAATTCACACCATGAGACCCTTAATTCCAGCTTCTCAGCCTGTCCTCCTGTCCCTGTCCCGATCCACATTGCCCTCCTGCTCCCTTCCCCCTGCTGTCAAGGATGGAAGTCAGGAGCAAAAAATGCACATTGACACCAAAGAAGCAAGCCCCTTTTCAAAGCCTTAGTGAAAGGTGTCCTGGATGGGATATGGAGTCTGTGGTGTTACCATGTCCTGGAATTATCCATACTTACTGTTCATGATTTGCATAAGTTCTGGTTTGCCTCAGTGTTCTCATCTGACACAGCAGGGACAGAGTAGTACTAGGAGATCCTTGAGGCCTGACATACTGGATGACTGTTAGTGGCATCTTTCTGGCCATATTACCATCCACTTTGCTGGTGAAGGGATGCTGGAAAAAGTCCTCACCTATCCACTCCATATTTGAGCCATACAGAGCTGCATCAGGGCTAGAAGAAGTGGGACTCTCCCTTCAGCATCCCCTCCAGGCCAGCCTGGGCCTCCTTCCCAAGACCTGTTTTCTGCCACTGAACCCAGATGGGTGCCCAGAGTCCACCCTCACTCATGGGGCCCTCAGGGCACCACAGACCCACTACCTACTAGCCATGGATCCTGGGACTTCCCTAAGCCTGAGTCCCAGCTTCCATGAAATAAGAAATAACTACATACTCACTCAACCCTGGGGAGCCTTAGTTGAGTTGGATCAGGGAAGGCACTCCAGAGGTACATGGTGGACGTGGAGTCTCTGTAGCCACGTTGCCCCTTGCTCATGAGTCTGGTGCAGCCCTTTCCTCTGCTGTGCTAGCGACAGCAATTTTTCCTGGTCCTTCCTTCAAGGTCCTCATCTGTACAGTGAGGGTGCCTGGAAGCCCCTATCTGGTGTTTGAACTGAGCCAAGAGCCCCAGACCGGAATCTACTCTCACCTCCTATCCATGACCCCTATAGCTTCTCTGTTACTTCTTCTGAAAACAGATCTCAGAGACTTTTGAGAGTTGGCAAAAGGGACTCCAGGTAGCACCCTATGGACATTTGGCTTCTCTCCATGCCCACTAACTAAACTGCAGAGACCTCCATGCTGAGGCCCAGGTCTCCTCCCTGAGCCCTTCACAACATAGGAAATTGCCACATTGCCTCTGCCCTTTCACCGTTGGTTGAAGATGAAAAGCCCTTCTTTCTCAACCTCTCATCAATTCCAGGAAGCTCCACTGCTTGCCATGTCACACTCTGTCCCCTTCCCACCCCCTCACCAGTTAAGATTGCAGTAGCCCATCTGCCCTGGGGCAGGGATCTGTGGTCAAGTAGCTACCTGCTTCCAGGAGCACTGCATTATACCCAGAGAGGACCCCTGAAGCAGGGGGTCAGGAGGGTGGCACCTACACCCTGGCTTCCTGCAGGAACCCCTGGGAACTACTGCAGGTTGGATCTGTACCTGGAGGTGATCACTCACCACCTTCTATGTTGAGATTTCTATGTTCTGGACATAGGTTTGCCCCCAGAGACCTCCCACCTTCACTGTGGCCCTATTGCACGTTGATATATTGGATGATAATTACACTGTTGCTTCATGTGTGTTACCTCATATATTCTCAGCACTACTCTAGAAGGTTCCTGCCATCATTATCTCCATTTTACAGATGGGAACACAGAGGTTCAGAGAGGTTAAGCAGCTTGCCCAAAGTTTCATAACCAGTGAAATTTCAAAGCTGGGATTCCAACACTGGGAGTGGGGATAAGATATCTGGACTAATCCTGGGAGAAACCCGCATCCTGAGTATGCCAAGGGGACATGTGTGCCCTCAAAAGGATGGGTTCACTCATTTCTCATCACTCAGGTATCCCAGAGCACATGGTAGAGACCCAGACTCAAGGAATTTTGGTAGCATCAGGTGAGAGCAGCACAGGGATGCAGGGTTCAGATGACTGTCTCCAAGAGGATGGAACAAGCACCCCTGAGCAGGACACTTACCTCCCACCACTGCAGTCCTTGGCACAAACTTCAGACTTCTGAAGGGTCCCAGCACCCAAGTTGGCACCAGCCCATGAAAAGGACAACACCTCTACCCCACCCACCACCCAGGAGTGTCTAGCTTTCAAATACTTGGGTTTCCTCCTGGAAACCTGGGATAGATTTCACCCACTGGAGAGTCCCCAAGCCATGCGTAACCATTCCTAACAAAGGATGATGGTGGACAAGGCCAGCTTCCCTAAACACCTGAACACTTCCTCTTTCCTACTCAAGGCAGGAACTCTTCCAAAAAATTCCCCTCCCAGACTTTGGGGTGGGGCCAGACAGGGAGGAGGGGCACTAGCCAAAAGCCAACATCTTCTACTCAGCTTCAGTACTTTGAAATGTGGCCAGTGTCCAAAATTCTGTTGTCTTCTTATGGCGACATGTGACCAGTGTGTCTTACTTTTTCAGAAGTGCAAATTAAGAGAGTAGATGGTGGTACAGCTTATAATTGGGAGGCAAGGCAAGAGGACTGCAAGTTCAGGCCAGCCTCAGCAACTTAGCAGGACACTTTAGCAGGCTGAGGATGGCTCCCATGGTAGAACATCCCAGAAGCTATTTGTGGAGTCCCTTAGGGTACATTGGCATGTATATTAGTGGTAGTTCCAGGACACATTCTAACCTCTTTAATCTGCTTGGAAATAGTGAGCAATTGCTGCAACTAAGAACACTCTGGATCCTGACAGTGTCTCCCAAGCTTTGAGGTTATCTGTTTCACTTTCAATCTCATTTAAACTTTTAGATATATCCTTGAAAGAGTCATTACATAGCAAGTGTGTCCTTTACATGAAGTATGTCCAGGGATCCAAATGTCAATGTTAGGATTCTAAAGAAAGGAGTACAGAGGTAGATCAGGAATAGAAATAGGAACAGGAATGTCGGAATAGAAGTCATTTGTGATTTATATGGGGAAAAAATGTATTTTTAAGCAGAGTACATCAGAACATTTCCTCCTAGCTTTCCCTTCCATTCTTATCTTCACCATCTGGGAGAGGCGGGACCTCCAGACTTCTGTGAGTCATGGACTGTTAGTGCTGATAAGGGCTAACAGGTGACTTACAGGAGCATGTACCCTGTAGCCCAGGGTCTAGAACAGCTGAGGAGCCTTGCAGGAATCACCAGTCTATCCTAGTTCTCTAGAGGGTCCAGAGCTGCTGTAGGGCAGAAAGGGGAAGTTTCTGCCCACCTAGGCACTCCTGGGGTGTGTCCTATTACATCTCCTCTCTTCCCAGAAAGGACAACCTCTGAGGACACTAAGTGCATCCTAAAGCTAGAAGGGCAGAAGCTCAGCTTTCCTCTCTCCAAGCCTCTTCAGCATTTTGCATCTGCACACTGGGTGTCCCTTGTCCCCTCAGTGCTGTGACACTGGGGCAGTGCCTCCTGAGTGGGACAGCGTGCCTGAATCAGTATCCTGCCCAATGCTGTGCATCACCCAGCCCCAATCTTCCTTCCTTCCCCTGCCTCTCAAAGAGTCACGGAGTTGCTGTCTCTGCAGGGTTCCTCCCTCACCTCCCCTGGACCCCCTTGCCCCACATGCATCTCAGTCTGTTCTGGAAGCTTCCTACCTTTTGTTACAGGACACTATTGCCACCTAGGGAAGAGGCTAGGCTACACTGCCCACTGGTCACCAAATATTCAGAGTCAAAGTGGTGGAAAAATGGATTTTATTCAAAGCCAGCTTTGAAGGAAGATAGGAGAAACTTTTATTTCAAAATTTTCTTCTTTAGAGGCTCTGGGGAACGCTTTTAAAAGAGAAGACGTGGCAAAATGGGACAAAAGATAGGAAATAAGCATGCTGATTTAGTTAGTCTATGCTGGACAGGCTGAGCAGGGGGTGATCTCAGCTCTCAGTTTCCTTGGCGCCTCCCAGGTCAGGGCAGGCAGTCCCTCCATCTTAACTAAGGAAGTTGCTTTCACTTTTTGAGG